AGAAGAAATACAAATGGCCAACAAGCTCATCAAAAGATGTTCAACATCATAAGTCATTAGGGAAATGCAATCTAAAATCATAATGAGATGTTTCTTCACCCTGGTTAAGATAGCTATGATCAAAAAACAGAAAACAACAGTGTTGGCAAGGAAGTAGAGAAATTGGAACTCTCATCCGTTATTGGTGGAACTATAAAATGGTACAGTAGCTGTGGAAAATAGATTGAAGATTCTTCAAAAAATTAAACATAAAATTACCATACAATCCAGTAATTCCTCTCTTAGGTATATACCCAAGAAAAAATGGAAAGCAGGAATACAAACAGATACATGTACACCAATGTTCATTGCAGCACTATTCACAGTAGCCAAAAGATGGAACAACCTAAATGTTTATCAACAGATGAATAGATAAACAAAATGTGGTACATGCATAGATGGAATATTACTCTGCCATAGAGAGAAAAGAAGTCCAGATACATGCTACAGCATGATGAACCTTGAAAACATTATACTGAGTGGAATAAGTCAACCTCAAAAGGACAAATATTATATGATCCCACTTATCTGAGATATCTAGAATAGGCAAACGTATAGAGACCAAAGTTTGTTGGTGGTAATCAGTGGTAGAAGGGAGGGAGATAAGAGGGAATCAAATGGATGGTGGTGATGGTTGCACAACATGAAGAATGTAATTAATGTCACTGAATTGTACGTTCAAAAGTGTTGAAATGGCAAATGCTTTGTTGTAAATACACTTACCACAATAAAAAAAAAGTAAATTAAAAAACAATATATTTTTAAGAGAGGCACATACGTAAATAGTTCACAGAAAAAGTAATTCTAATGGTTCTTAGACATATGAAAATGTGTTCGACCTTGTTCATACAAGAAAAAATCAAATAAAACTGTGATACGTTATTTTTCTATACTATTAAGATATTGACAAAGTTTAATAAATGTTTCTTAACATTGTATTGGAGAAATATGTACTCTAGATCTGCTAGAAATGATGTAAATTGATAGATCCTCTCTCTGGAGAGTAGTTGGATAATATCTATCCAAATATACAATGTTCCATACCCTCTGACTTAGAGATGTCTGTCTCCAATACATTTTAAACCTGAAGATACATTTATACTTATGTACATTAATATCTGTCATAGCACTGTTTATATTAGCAAAATATTGGAAACAATCTAAATGTCTACCAACTGAGGGGTATCTGAACACAGCTATCCAATAAAATACAATACATCATTACGATTAACGAGGCTGCTCTTCCCATGCAGATGCGGACAGATCACCCAGATACATTAAGTGAAAATGCAAGCTTCAGAACAATGTGAATAACCTGGTGTCATGGGGACGGGGGAGGAATATAAATATTAACATGTTTGCAAATGCCAGGCTTATCTCTCGAAGACTAACAAAAGCTTGTAACAGTGGGTGATCTCCAGCAGGGGAACTAGGGATTGCGAATCAAAAGAAGGAGGGGAACTTAGTTTTTACTGTATTACGTTTGCACTTTTGATTTTTTTCCGGGTGTGGGTGTGTTGTGTTTGTGGGAAAAAGGAAGACAGGAAGGAAGGAAAGAAGGGTAAAAAGCAGTTGGTGGGTAGAAAGGCAACTCTCAAAAAAGAAAGCAAGAAGTCCTTAAGGCAGCAACATAAAAATAAACATTTGTTACCTCTGGAGAGCTTAACTTTCTTCAGCAAAAAATAATTAATGAATGTTGCTTTTTCCCAATTCCATATCAGTCCCAGGAACCTCAGAATCTCAAGGGAGCAACACTGATCGCTTAGGTCCCAGCTATAAACTCCCTAATCGGGTGGAACCACAGAGAAAGACATGGGTGGACAATCAGCCTTCACTAGGTGTAGGAAGAAAATCTAATGTAAGTAAAGCAAGGAAAATCCCATTTTTCAAAATTAGCTGCGTATCATTGCAGTTTGTACAGGAAGTGGCAGAACAAAAGGGTCAGAGATCAAGTTCCAGCATGTTTCACACCAAGACCTAGAAGAATCATTTCATTGTCAGTGGCATAAAGGAAATGGAGTAAGGGAACTGAGGTGGGTTGAGTGTTGTCTGGGAAAGGATATGAATGAACAAATCATTGAATCATTCAGCGGATGAATCAATCAGTCAATATTATATGACCTTAATGTACTGGTGTTATTATGGTCATTTGTGGAGCACCTATTCAATACATGGCTCTGTGCTGGGAAAGTTACATAAATCTGCTCACTTGAACCTCACATCACTGCAAAGCAGGCTTTACTGATTCCTCCCCTTCTCCATTTTTTCTAAACTTTTTTTTTTTGAGATACCTATATATTTACAGGAAGTTGCAAAGACAGTAGAGAGAGGCCTCTTGTACCCTTCTCCCAGTTTCCCCCCCAATGGTTACCTCTTACATAATAATCATGCTAAGACTTCAAGCCCAGGAATTAGATATCCGCATAATGCGTGTTTGTAGTTCTGTGTCTGTTTATCACATGTGTAGATTTGTGTAACCACCATCACAATTGAGATGCAGAATTATCTCACCACCACAAAGATCTCCCTGGCACTACGCCTTAGAGCCACACTCACCCTTCTCCCTAATCCCTGGTAGGTACCAATCTGTTCTCCATCTCTATAATTTTGTCATTTGTGTGAACATGATGCAAATGGAATCATACAGTATATGACCTTTTGTGATTGGCTTTTTTTTACTTAGCATAACGTACTTGAGATCCACTCAAGTTGTTGTGTTTATCAATAGTTTTTCCTCTTTATTGCTGAGTACTGTGCTGTGGTATAAATGTACCACAGGTTATTTAATCACCCACCTATTATAGAACATTCTGGTTGTTTATACTTTTTGGCTATTACAAATTTTAAAAAAAAAGTTGCTATTAAAACTTATGTACAGGTTTTTGTAGATATAAGTTTTGTGTGAACATAATTGCCCTGGAGCGCAATTTCTGGGTTGTATGATAAGTGAGTGTTTAGTTTTTTAAAGAAACTATTAAACTAGTTTCCAGAGTGACTGTATCATTTTACATTTCCACCAGCAATGTATGAGAGCTCCAGTTTCTCAGCATCCTCAGCAGCACTTGGTATTGTCATCATTTTTGTTTTTGAGTTTTTGTTTTGTTTTGTCCATTTTAGCCATTCTGTTGGGTATGTAGTAGTATCTCACAGTGTTCTTGATGTACATTTCTCTGATGATGCTGAACACCTTTTCATGTACTTATTTACCAACATATATGCCTCTTGGGTGAAATATACATTCATGACTTTTGCCTATTTTCTAATTGGATTGATTGATTTTAATGTTGAGTTTTCAGAGTTCTTTATATAATCTAAATACGAGTCCTTTGTGAAATATGTGGTTTGCAAATATTTTCTCCCAGCCTGTAGCACGCCTTTCCAACCTATTAGCAGGGTCTTTTGAAGAGGTTCCATATATTGATTTTTTTTTCTTTTATGATTTGTGCTTTTGGTAGCATGTCTAAGAACTCTTTACTAAGCCCTAGGTCTCAAAGTTATCGTCTAAAAGATATGATATCATCTGAAAGCTTTATAGTTTTACATTTTACATATAAATCTATAATCCATTTTGAGCTAATTTTGGAAAAGATGTGAGGTTTAGGTCATGGTTCATATTTTTGCTTATGGATATCCAATTGCTCCAGCACCATTTGTTGAAAATATTATCCTTCCTCCATTGAATTGCTTTTGCATCTTTTTAAAAAATCAGATGGTTGTATATGCATGGATGTATTTCTGAGTTCTCTATTCTGTTCCATCTTTAAGTCTATCCCTCCACCAATAACACAGTCCTTATTACTTTAGCTACATAATAAATCTCAAGACCAGGTAGAGTAATGTACTCCACTTTATTCTTCTTTTCAGGATTGTATCAGCTATTCTAGTTCTGTTCTTTTTTTATTAATTTTATAATAACATTATCTATAACTAAAAATTATTACAGAGATTTTGATACAAACTGGGTTAAACCTATATATCAATTTGGGGAGAACTGACATTGTACTATACTGAGCCCACCAATCCATGAATGGAGCCCTGGTAATGCAGTGGTTAAGAGAATTGGCTGCTAACCAAAAGGCTGGCAGTTCGAATCCACCAGCTGCTCCCTGGAAACCTACCTTATAGGGGCAGTTCCACTCTGTCCTATAGGGTCCCTGTGAGTCAGAATCGACTCAACGGCAATGGGTTAATCCATGAACAAGTATACTTATTTATTTAGATCTTCTTTGCTCTCTTTCATCAGCATTTCATAATTTTCAGTATACAAGTTCTGTACAGAGTTTGTTAGATTTACACCCAAGTATTTTTTAGTGGTTTTAAATGATATTGAGTCAGGGCCAACTTGACAGCAGCTAACAAACAAAAATAAAAGTTGTTCAGAGTAGTTCCCTATCATCTTTTTTATGTTTGTGGGGTACGTAGTGAAATCCCGTTTCATTCATCAGTGTTTTTTATTCTGGCTAGTGCACTGTTAGAATGGAGGGGAGAGATGCAAGATGAGGAGAGGGAGTTAAGTAGAAGCAAGATAATACAGAACTCCATGGGTGACTCAAGATTTTCAGATAAAATAATTTGAATCTAGGTATACTGATGTATTTTAATTAAAAACGTAGTGCATAAAAGAAAGCAAAACTAAATAAAAGTATTTTTTATGTTCCTTATTTGATATATTTATGAGATGTTTATCAGTTTGCACCCAGAGAACACAGCTACTGGCCCACAGCGATTTCCTCAAACTGTAGGATAAAACTGTCCAAGTTGGAGACAGATTTCAGCCCCCTGCAACACCGTCTCTAAAATGCGAATCAATTATGTCACAGAAAATGTTCTCTGACCCCTCTGTGAAACCAGATATTATACCATTTCCAATTCTGGAATTAGTTGAAGGATCACAAAGATCTTAGCTCTCTCTTCTCTTCTTTATTAGCAACTTTTCAGCTGAAGTTTTACTTTTGCTAGCCATGGAACAAGAAAATGGCACTGAAGTCACTGAATTTGTTCTCCTGGGATTTGCTGGTCAACACAGATTTGGGCATATCCTCTTTTTATTGTTTCTAGTGATCTATGTGGTCATCCTACTGGGTAATATTGGGATGATTCTACTCATCAAGATTGACTCTGCCCTTCACACCCCTATGTACTTCTTCCTACAACACTTGGCTTTTGTTTATCTCTGTTATGCCTCTGCTATCACTCCCAAGATGTTGCAAAACTTCGTAAGGACAGAAAAATCTATCTCATTCATAGGATGTATGGTACAATTTCTAGTCTATGGTATTTTTGCAACCAGTGACCTCTACATCCTTGCTTCCATGGCAGTGGACCGCTATGTGGTCATCTGTAACCCACCCCACTATCCAGTAGTCATGTCCCAGAGAGTCTGCATTCAACTGTTAGTTGGCTCATACTTCATGGGTTTCATAAATGCCTCTGTAAACACAAGTTTTACCTTCTCTTTGAACTTTTGTAAATCCAATGCAGTTAACCACTTTTTCTGTGATGAACTCCCAATTCTTGCCCTCGTATGCACCAATGTTAAGTTGAACATCATGCTACTAACAGTCTTTGTGGGGTTTAACTTGATGTTCACTGTGTTGGTTGTCCTCTTTTCCTATACGTATATCCTGGCAGCCAGCCTGAAGATATCTTCTACAGCTGGGAGGAAAAAAGCCTTCTCCACCTGTGCCTCTCACCTGACAGCAGTCGCCATTTTCTATGGTGCTCTTTCTTACGTGTGTCTACACCATAGTACCACTGAGACTCAAGAGCAGGAAAAAGCAGCTTCTGTGTTTTATGGCATTATGGTCCCCATGATAAATCCCGTGATCTATAGCCTGAGAAACCATGAAGTGAAAAAAGCTCTACATGGGATCAGAAAAAAGTGCTTCTAGTTTGAGCCTCTATTTGTAGTTTTCTGTACATACAAACAACCAGGCTGGCCAAATGACAATGTCAGTTTTTAGGAAATCAAAACCAAAAAGCCAATCAACTTAGAAAAGTTGCTCGATCTTACTAATAGTGAAATGCAGATTAAAATAACAATTAGATAACCACTTTACACCATCCTACTGCCAAAAATTGAAAAAGAATGGTAACGCCTATTTCTTGCTGTGATATAAGGAAAAGGATATTCTCACGTATTATTAATGAAGACTGAAGTGTTATTTTACTTAAGAAGGAATCTGGCAATATATTTTTAGAAGAAAAAAATCCCGCAATCCAGAATTTCACTCCTGCAAACTGAGCTAGAAAAATCAAAGTTCTAATTCATAAGACCATCTCTTCAAAGATGTTTATTATAGTATTATTTATGAAGGCAAAACCCAGAAAGTGAGTATCTCTCAACAGGGAAATAAATCTGTATTGTAATTCCAAAATCTATATTAGTTATCTATTGCTGCATAACCTATTTCCACAAACTTAGTGACTTGAAGAACACACAACTATTATTTCACAGTTTTGTGGGTCAGGAATCCCAACCTGGCTTAGCTTTATCCTCTGCAAGGCTGCAATCAAGGTGTCCACCAGGACTGGGTTCTCATCTGAGGCTCAACTGGGGATGGATCTGTTTCCAAGCTCCCTCAGGTTGTTAGAAGAATTCATGTTGTGGTTGTAGGACTGCCTTCTTGCTAGCTGTTGGCCGAGGGCTGCTCTCAGCTCTTGGAGACTGCCTACCGTTTCTTGCCACACGTCCTTTCCATAAGTCCTCTCATCACATGGCAGCTGACTTCTTCAAGGCCAGAAAGCCACATACAGTTTACTCAGTTCATACATCATGTAAAACAACACTTCTTCATATGCCCAAATCCTACTTCAAGAGTTCATTTGTACCTGAAGTCTTCTCAGCTCGACCCTTTTTTGCTGCCAGCTCTCTACCCCTGAAAGTAATTTCTTCTTCCAATGAATATCCATAGCACTCCACTTGGATCAATAAATATTATTTATCACTTCCTGTCTATGGGATTACTTACATATCACTTGTGTATATATAACACATATGCATATATTGTATATTTAACTATCACCTTCCCTACTATCTATAAGGCAGTTGAGATACTTTTTATTTCTCTGACTTTTTAACATCTGGAACAGAGCCTTACACATATAAATTTTATAAATATTGACTAAATGAATGCTTGATGATTAAAAAGCAATAATATGGACAGATTCCTAGCTAAAAACTATGTTGGTGTGTAGCCTACTTTTATCATTGTTGTTGGGTGCCATCAAGTCAATTCCGACTCATAGTGACCTCATGTGATAGAGCAGAACTGCCCCATAGGGTTTTCTTGGCTGTAATTTTTATGCAAATGGATCCCCAGGTCTTTCTCCCACGGAGCTGGTGGGTGAGTTCTAATGACCAGCAGCATTAGAATGACCAGGGAAAACTCTTTTTTTAAGTCTAAATAACAGTAGCCCAATCCTGGAGATTTTGATTCAGTAATATTGGATAGAACCCGATATCTATAAGTATCTGTGTATACAAAATATTGCTTTAAAATTGCATGGTTTCCTGGAAGGTAGTACTTAAGAGCACAGCATTTGGAATCTCTTAGAATGGGTCGCTATGAATCAACTCGACAGCAACAGGTCTGGGTTTTTTTTTGTTGTTTTAGAGTGTGGTTCCTGTCCCAGCCCTGCCTCTCACCAGCAGTGTCCCTCTGCAAGTCAATTTTGCTTTCAAGACCTTGTTTCTCACAACAGTACTTTTCTCATGATGGGTTTTAGTTAGTGAGCTATAGATAATATAATACATGGGAATCATTGTGCCTAGCACTAATAAACCTCAATAAATATTAATAATAATGAATACTTATAAGGATTATTTCAACATGGGTGTAACAGATATAAAAACACCCTCATCTTTCTTTCTCTCTCTCTCACACACACACACACATACACACACACAGATTTAATAAGAAGTATCCTAAGATTTGCAACATGAAAAATGTCCCCCTCTGGGGGTTGACATATTGTGGGATTGTTAACCAATGTCATAAAACAATATGTGTACTACTGTTTCATAAGAAACTATTTGTTCTGTAAGCCTTCACCTGAAGTACAATAAATAAATAGATAAATAAATTATCAAAAAGAAAAAAAAAATTGTCCCCCTCTGGGAAGCTCCTCTCTTCTTCAGCAGAAAAATAACTACTGAGGGTTGTATTCTTTGATCCTGTATCAGTGCCTGGAGTACGGATGTTCAAGAGAACAGGTATTAATCCCATAGGCCTCAGCTATGAGCGCTCTTTGTGATGATCTACGGAAAACTCATTTGGTGGGCAATCAGTCTGCACCAACCATAGAAGAAAATTCAAAGGCAATTCCCCAAATAAAGCAAATCTCATATTTTCAGTTCAGCCGTGCATTATCCCAGCATATGAGGACAATGAAAGAATCTATAGGATTAGAGCCACTATGCCAGTGTGATTTATGCCAAGGTCTGGATAGTGTCATCTTATCTTCAGCAAAGTATAAAGATAAATGGAGAGAGGAAACTATCAATGGGATTGAGAAATTTAAAATGGCCCTGGAAATGGCAGCTGACATGTTAGCCATAATGTTCCCAACTGAACGTAAACAACCCTTGTAGACTATAAACAATAATTAGAAAGGCCACTCCATGACTAAGATGGAACAAGCCAGAGAAAATGTTGCTTGTGTGATTATGTCTGTAGCAAGACAAGGACAAGACCACAAAAATAGCTAAACATTCCCTTCTTCCAATAACATGAATGCATATGCTTTCTTTAACCCCTTCATGCTCACAGGTACCTCTAGGGACCAAGTACTTTTTCTGCCTCTGAAGGTTTATTGGGAAGCTGGTGCACCACTGACAGTGTGTGCTACCACAAGGCAGGGGCCTTTATGACCATTTGAGTCTGAAGAAATGGGTGTGTCACAAATGACTGTTTTTACAGGTTATTGTATGAAGTATCTGGATTTTTGGTAAGAAAAATAAAAATTCTGACAATTTTTTTTTGTTACACATATGTACCAATAGACCACAGTGGGGACTCTGGGGTGTAATTAGTGGTACTTCATACGCACCACTAAACACTTAGGGTAGCCTTGTGTAAGGGGGCAAGAAAAAAAATCCATAATACCTACTAAAAATTCAGACACACTTAATGATTCAGCACACTTTCATTAATGAAAACATATAGTATCAACAAAAAATTCAAAGCAGAATATAATTGGTTCATGAAAGTCACTTTAATCTTCCCACTTCTTAGATATAAATTACCAACATATCTAATAACCAAATTGACCCTGCTTCCTGTTAACACTCAATCCAGACCTGGCCTCCACTTTCTAAATCCTTCTTAGAATTACTCAATGTGGTCACTTTTAGAAGTTTATCTGTTTCTGTAACAGCACATGAGGACAGTGATCTCAGAGAGACATATATCCTGGCTGTCATCCAGAGGCTGTCCACAAAACTGAGAAAAGACTTCCCTACTTGTAGCTCCCACCTAAGAGCTGGTACCATTTTTTTATAGGGCCCTCTCTTATGTATATTTATGGCCTGGTTCTAACTAGCCTCAAAAGAAAATGAAAATGACTGTCATGTTTTATAGCACTGTGATTCCTACATTGTACCCCCAATCTACAGCCCAAGAAACAAGGAAGTGATAGATGTGCTAATCATAATAATGAAGAAAATTTTGTAAATTTGGACTCAATTTCAAATATTAGGCACAGAAGCATCCAAGTAAAAGTTTTTTTTTTTAAAAGATGTAATTTGTCTGAAGCAATTTTTCCAATTGCCTCAAAAACTTGTTGATGAGCTTCTTAAATTATATGAAAGATTCTCCAATTTTCATACAGGTAAATTTATCTGGAGAGGCAACATAGCCCTTCTGCTTGATGAGCTATCCCCTTTTGCTAATGACTTCTCTTTTTTTAATGTATGAAAAATCAGCAATCAGACTATAGCAACATCATTCAAAGGCTATTTAAAAACCAACTAGTGCAATATTAATCTGATGGAAGCAACATCAACTCCCAAGAAAAGTTAAGAGTATAAAGGGAGACTTCCAGTACCCTGGGAAACCAGTTAAGAGTTCAGAAGGGCAGTTGGGGCAGATTGGAGGGCAAAACAAAATGAAAATATTAGGCAAATTCCCATGAAGATCCAGCATTGAGCAACATCTCTAGAAGTAGTCAGCAACAGGAAACTCTCCCCAGATCTTGTAAGTATTAAGTTCTCATAGTATTCCATCACTCAACAGTGACCAGAAGCCCTCTGCCAAAATATGAAACAAATGGAGAACCTGGAGGCAGAGGACAATGCAGGCTGGCCAATAATCTTAGAATCATGGTCAGCAGCAAGCTGCCATATTGAAGGCTTCCATCTGGTTCTCCCCTCTAATACCAAGTTTACACACATCCAGCCCAGTCAGTTGCAAGGGCTGGTAAAACAAAGGAAAATTTTTCTCACTCCAGCATCACAAAATTTGACAGCTACATTAATCCACTGGCACGCATCTGTCAGTTTGTGGTACTGTAGGGGCTTGCATGTTGCTGTGATGCTGGAAGATATGCCACCAGTATTCAAATACCAGCAGGGTCACTCATGGCAGACAGGTTTCAGCTGAGCTTCCAGACCAAGACAGATTAGGAAGAAGGATCCTATGGTCTATTTCTGAAAAGAATTTGCCAGTGAAAACCTTATGAATAGCAGCAGAAGGTTGTCTGATACGGTGCCAGAAGATGAGCTCCTCAGGTTGCAAGGCACTCAAAACAGGACTGGGGAAAGCTGCCTCCTCGGTAGAGTTGACCTTAATGACATGGATGGAGTCAAGTTTTCAGGACCTTCATTTGTTGATGTGGCGTGACTCAAAATGAGAAGAAACAGCTGCAAACATCCATTAATAATCAGAAAGTT